GCAGCTTCAAGCCTTCCCCTCCTGACTTGGGCCTGCGTTTTCCTAGGGAGAGCTTCCCAAAGCCCTGTCCAAAAGCCGCTTCAGTGCGAGGTAAGGCTCAGGGCACAAAGTAATCATTGGTGATCTCAAGTTGCAGTGGAAATGCCAGTGTAGGATCCACCAACCCCAGAGTCCTTGCGGGGCACATCCCGAAGGTGTCGAGAGCAGTCGTGGGGGACCTGTCAGACCAGTGACGGTGCATGTGACCCATCTGAAAGGAGTTCTCTCTCGCCACTCAACAAATGCACAGTTTATTCCCAAGGACGGTGTTGGGGAGGGGCAGGCAGGGCTAGGAGGTCTCAGAGGACTTGGGACAGGTGGGACCCATTTCTAAGGTGGGCCCCTATTCTAAGGGCCACACATGACCCCACAGGTGGTTATAGGATTAACTACCAGTTCATTCTCGAAATGCTGCTTTGAACTCAGAGGGTTGATACTTTTCATTTGTAATTTTTTGTAAAACTTTTTACGAGATAGTAAAGTATTTCACCAGAATACCAGTTTCAATCTGTCCGTGGTCTGATTTTTATATAATTTAGTGGTGCTTTAGAAACTTTGTTTTGTTGTTTCTGAGCTCAGTAGCTCAATCCTCTCTTGCCTGTATCTACCTAAGACCAATGTGAACCTTTGTATTTTGCTCCTAATTTTGGACTCAGTGGAAGTGTACTGTTTACATGTACAGACGCCCCCTCCCTGTGTGTTCTGCAAGACGCGCTCTCGAGGAGGAAGACGCACCTCACTAGCTCATCTGCTTAGCAAAGCCACAAAACAAAACCTCTCACTTTGGACCCGCTTCCACCTAAAAAAAAAAAACGAAAACCTACCACCATCCGGAACTCAGATTTGCCAACACACTCTGCCTGGTAGATGCCCCGTGCCTCTATCATGCATTCCCTTAGGAGAGGACTCAAGCTAGCACCTCCTGCCGGCCGGGTGGGGAATAGCACACAGAGGAGACACTGGTAGGACTTGACCGCCCAGCCCTGGGAGGAAGTTCTTCTCTGGGCAGCAGGTAACAGGAGCAGGCCAGACAGGAGGTCATCAATCTGCTGGCATAACTGAGACACATTTTTTTGGGAGAGCAGGAGTTCCGTGGCAGCTGAGACTGTGACTTGAGTGCAGATGGTACAAGCACTTCTTCAGGGTTCCCACCACCTCTGGGGGAGGGTCAGGGAGGGGCTCCAGACAGTAAGCATATGGCACTTACCACAAGCAGTGGATGGCACCAACTTTTAAAGGTGACTTTATTAATCAATGGTTTCACCGCTAAATTATATTTTTTACAGATATGCACCTATGCAACTTAATGTGGCTCTTCTAAGCAGGTGAGGACCTCCTCCTCAATGCTCTATAAAGTGTTTGTGTTCTGTATAGTGAGTTTCCCAGTAAATGTGGCTTAATACTTTAATTCTTAGGATGTGTCTTTCTACGTGATGCAGCTACTAAGTTCTGTTTTGTTTGTGGAATGACTAGCACAGGCCGATGCCCTCTTTCCCTCACTTACCAGAAGACCAGTGAGCTGTTAATGAGCGGTTATCATCATGGTATTACTGCTAAATGCACTGATGTCATAAGTATGTGGAACCCTTTTTCCTTTTGAAACTGTATATCATATACCAGACTGAATCGACTTAATAAACACTGAACAACAAACCCAAAGCTGAGCTTCAACTGTGTCGCACACTGAGCAGCACTGCCAGCCAGGCCTGGTCCTTCTCTGCCCACCAGCAGAGCTCCCCTTTCCCTAGCCAACAACTGACTCGCAGACATCCTTGCTAGGTTTTCCTGGATGAGTAAGCCTGTTAGAAGGGGAGGGGAGGGTGCTCCTCTAGGGTGCCCAGCCCTGGTGGCAGGGCTCCTGCAAGGCAATCCAGTTTCACAGCCACTGCGTAACGCTCTAGAGACCACGCAGCAGAGGTGTGCTGTGTTACACCTTGCCCAAGTTCAGTCACCAGCCAAGCAACAATCTGGCTGCAGCTGTGACAGCCAAACCTGCGCCCTCTCCTGTTACCGAGGTGCCTGGCCAAATGACCGAATCCAAGCTCCTGTGGCCACCCATAGCCTAGCCGGCCAGTCCTGACCTTTCAGTAGCTGACACCCAGTTCCAGGCAAAGCTCTAATCCTACCCGGAAAGAAACAAAAGGCCACTTTCCCTAGTATTTATTTACTTTTTATTTTTTTCCTTGGTATTTGCATAGTTTTCCACCCTAATAGTGATTTGATCATTTAGAAGACATTACAGGAAGATGTCAGGGAAGGGAACAAGTTGATTACCAAATCAACTTGAGTTAAACAAAGTTTTTAATATAAAAGCTAATTTTTTTTTTACTATTCAAACTGTCTATGCATATACATTAGTAGGGTTTTTTGTTTGTTTTGATTTTTGTTTTGTTTGAAACAGGGGTTTCTACATAGTCCTGGCTATCCTGTAGCTCTATGTAGACCAGGCTATCTTCAAGTCACGGAGATATACCTGCTCCTGCCTTCCAAGCGCTGGGATTTACGGCGTACTCACCATGCCTGGCTAGATTACCAGTTATTAAAGCCTCAAGCGAAATTCTGTAAAGCAGCCAAATGCTCACACTGAAAGCCGAGGTCTGCAGCCCTCACTGTGCCCGAGCAGGCGGGGCTAGGTTTGGCATAGCACAAGACATGCCCCCACACCTCCCCCTTGCCAGGTGTGGGGTCAAGTGCAGCTCATCCTCGGCCAACAAAGCTCCTATCCTGCCAAAACTATTGCTGAGATTCACCGAGGGACCACGAAAGCCCTGAACTCTTGACAGAACAGGACTGTGTAGACCCTAGCCGCCTCTCAGCCATCAGAAAACACTTAGCTCTTCAGTGAGGCTTCCTGTTCTTGGAACACTAGAACTGCAGGGAAACGGCCGGAGGACAGATTACTGACCACTGCTATTAACAACTGGCACAAGACAGCATCAACTGGGAAATGTCATCTTAAAGCAGTGGCAAGTTCACTCAACAAACCTTCCCTTCATTCAGTAAGGGGAGAACACATGTATTGTCCTTGTAAGTCACTTGAAATGCCCGAGAGGCGTGAGCTGAGGATGTGACTTGGTTAGTAAAGGGCTAGCTCAGCATGCAGAGGCCTGGGCTGAATACCCGGCACCACAGAGAACCAGGTAAGGTGCGGTGCTCTATACCTCCCACTGGAAATTAGAGGCAGGATCAAATCTGGGATATATGAGATCCCATATTTAAAAAAACAAAACAAAAAAACAAACAAACAAAAACCAAACAATACCACTAGGTGGTGTATGCCTTTAATCCCAGCACTCAGGAGGCAGAGACAGAGGCAGAGGGATCTGAGTTCACAGCTAGCCTAGTCTACCTAGGAAATTCCAGGCCATATAGAAGGCCTTTATATGAGATCCTATGTTAAAAAGCCAAAACTCACCCCACCCCCAAATCAACAAAGACAATACACTGGGAGAACCTAGTACCAAATCTAAACCAATAGCATCAACAATCTAAACCAATCCTGGCAAAGGTCTACCTTCTTCCATCTTTTTTATGAACTGAGATTTTATTAGGCTCACTATCCTCCAGGATCGATTAAAGAGCTTGGCTGCATCAAGAGCCTGTGTGCAGAATGAAACAGTCTGCAGCAAGAACACTTCCTATGAGTGTCCCCAGAATGGTGACCACCCAGATATTAAGGCAAGGCAGCACCCCAACAATGTCAGGCCTTCAAACGGACACACACAATGGGACAAGAGCACGAGTACTGCCCAGTTTGGGGTGCAGGTAGCAATCTCCCTGTCACAGCCCCACCAGCTTACAATAGCACCCTAACATGAGGGAAACTGAGTATGGCGCACACCTTGAGATTGTCTGCTATTGCCAATGTTTGCACAGGCCCCACCCCTTCCAAACAAGGTCTCATTTCATCAAGAAATGTTTGGTACTGACATCCCACTTCCCTCTTCCTTTCCGTAGCTTGATCTTCTAATCCTCCCCCTCTCCACCCCAACACTGTGCCCAACAGCTGTAGAGTGAGGCTAAAGGCCAGGTGTCTATATAGCCTGCCTGGCACTACCACCTCAGGATAGCCCACAGACTGGCACCCTGAGCTCCTCTGGGGCAAGGGTGACACGAGGCAGCAGCTACTCCAAGCCAGTCTTGCAGAGCTATTAGCTCTGTCCTGGCCTAAGTAGCTCCTAGGCGGCAAATGTTCCAGTCACCCCAGGTCAATGCAACCAGCACCCACATGTGGACAAGACAGTGGCTAAGAGCTATGCCCAAGGAAGCCCACCGAGTGGCATGGGATGCAGCCTGTCCTCTTAAGCACTGCCTCATTCTGCCTTAGATACAATTCAAGTGGCAAGATGCTGGCTCCAGCCAAGGGGCCCAGCTATGTGGGGCTACCGAGCGCGAGAAGCAATCTTCAACAGCAGGGGCTGATTCTCCTCAATGTAGCCCTGCAAAACTGCTCAAAGCGCCCATAGGATGCCCTCCCACTTGAGGTGCTTTGCTTAGGTCTCCCTTCCATCACATCCATTCTGCTTAGTCACGTCTGAATTCAACCATAAACTGTGCACTAAGCGTTCCTTTAGTACTTGTCCTGGAAGCAACAGGTGTCCATTCAGGATTGTTCAAGCAGCAGTGACCCTCAATCTGCCTCATACCAGGACAAGGCCACAAGTAGTGGTTGCCAGGAGGCCACAAATTCTGGGAACCCACGTGGCAAGCTCAATCTGAGGCAGGTGGTGTGGACGACCTCCTGGAAGGACGATGCCTTACCTTTACAGTTCCCATCCTTCCCATTGGGTTTCCGACTTTATACTCTACCCAGTAGAAACATTCGCCAAATCAAGAGTCCAAAGACCCAGGGGAGCTGCCAATTCAGTGTGCACAGGAGCCCCAGTCAAAAGGGAGCAGCTTTGCGCTCAACTGAGTCTCCCCACATCCACAGGCAGCCACAGATGACAAGGAGACAAATGCAGGTTGTACAGGTTTATTTTTCCAATACCAATGAGACAGACAAGAGCAGCGCTTTTCTGAGCAGCCCCATGGACCAGACCATTGTCAAGTTTCACCTCTGAGACCTCAGTGGTTTCAGAAGAGGAGGACTGGACATACGTGGCTCCTGCTCCTGGTCTTTGGTAGAGACTTCTGAGCACACAACATGGACTTGGCCAATACTGAATTTAAATCACATCACTACCAACTCCTCACTCACACTTGATGAATGACCCCCCCCCCCGCAGAAATAAAAATAAAGACAGCCACCTCAGATGAAATGGTGAAAGAGGTAGCTTACAGAGAAAATGAGACTCGCTCAAGGCACACCAATTTCTATACTTCATACAGAAACAGACACACAAGGAGACAGACCTAAATTAGACAAGGACTCCCAACTTTCAAGTAAAGATACAAGAAACAGGGCAGGAACTGGGATGAGGTCAGACAAATACAAGAGTGTCTACTTGACGCAACTGTGGTAAGAGAGAGGCAGGCAGCAGGCATGGCTTTGTTCCCCTGAAACCTACTTTAAGTAAGTCAAAAGGAGCCTAGCGATCCCCAATATTGCTTTGACAGGTGACGACCCTGGAGCCAGATCCAGAAGGCCTGTCTGGGGGCCGCCCAAGGAACTCACCCATGAATCCAGAAGCACTCAACACTGGTGATGGCGATTTGTCACATATGGCTGCAGAGCAGCCACCCAAGGCTGGAAGAGAATAGATACAAGGAACAAGACATGTTCGCTCAGTGGTATGTGAGCAGCTGTCTGTGGCGCTGCAGACTGTGGTAGATTCCCTGGTGACAGGTGACAAGGCACAGGGCCAACCATAGGTCACTAGTCAGTAACTTCCTTCTCCCATCAGGCAGCACAGCACTCAGTGGCGTTGACAACTGGTGCACAGAAGTGTATGACACCATTTTAATCAAGGCTGCTGAAGACGTACAATAAGGAAGAGACGTTCGTGTTCTCTGTACAATGCATCCATTTACAGAATTGGCCGGTACTGTGGACAACATATAAATACAGGATAAAACATTAGAGGTGCAGAGAGCATACTTACAGAAGCCAGGAAGTTCACTTTATACATCCAAGAACAGAGTTGAAAATATAAAAATAAGAAACAGACTGCTTGGAAATGCCAGATGATTTCACACACAGGTGCATGGGTGCCCACTCCCACTGAGTCAAATGCGACGGGGTGGGCGGCAAGCAGGAGTCACCTGCAAACATCTGTACGTTGACTCAAGGTCTACAGACAGCATTTCCATAGCAGACAGCCCTATTTCCAGACCCCATTGTCCAAGAAGGGCTATTCAAGCTTCCAAGAGAATCTGTGGATCCGTGGGTTACAGACAAATTAAAAGTTCCAAACTGGGTGAAGCACCAGAACCAAAGGTCAACTTGGCTCCATCACTGGCAAATGACAAAAACATGACGTCAAGGTCAGCGGATGTTTGATCCCCTGGTGGGCAATGATGAAAGAAGCTACTTTAACCCTGTGTGGCTTCTGCAACCATCAATTCCCCAAGCAAAGTAGCAGATGGCAGGGAGGGGGAGTGGAAGACTGACATTCCTGCTTACTTCAGGCAGGTAAGCTGCATCCATGAGAACTCAACCTTCCTGCTCCAATTTCAAGTCCATTTGGGTGCAAGACAGGTTGCCCTGCCACACTGTACTGCCTGACTGCAAGAGGGTTCAGGCTGGATGGTCTTGGGCAACCACAGTCCCCCGCTCCCCTGAAAAACCCTTCCAGCAAGACTAGAAGGGTCTCAAGACAGAGGGTTTCAGCACTATAAATTTTAGGAGGCAAGATTAATCTCACCTACATATAGAGTTCATTGTATCAATGATATTCTGTGTACAGACTTAAATCAACCATTATTAAAATACACACACTGAATGTACAATGTTTCCAATGGCCATAATTTATTATCTCACCACAAGGCACAATACACAGAGCTTTGAGGGTCCAATGCAGTCGTCATGGCAGAACGCCCCGCAGCCTTGGCACATGATCATGGCTTTCAGGCTGCACGCGCACTGCAGAGAGATGCTTTCCACTGCACTGCTGTCAGCGAACATCTGCAGGGAGACTGATGCGGTATGGCCCGCACCAAAGCTGGCTTTGTGGCTCAGCTGCACCACACTGCCAGCAAGGCCTTTGGGAAAGGTGGCAGAGCTGGAAGAATAATTAAAGCTGGTGGGACTCAGCTGGAGTTTAGAAAACTTCCCATAGAACGCCTGCTTGATGCCGAGTTGGGAGGGAATGGAGGAAGGCTCCGGTGGCTGGCTGAGCCCTTTCCCTGGCTCTCTGGGGAACTTCCAGAAAGGCAGGTCCACAACGAAAGGCATCCCTGGCAAGTGACCCACTAGTTCCAGAGGACTGTACCCAGTGGCTTTCCTGTTCTCTGCATCTGCCTTAGTGGGGCCCCTTGAGAATGTCTGTTCTGTCTTGATGCTGCCAGCAGAGACAGGCGGTGGTTTGGGTGTCCAGTCTTCCCTTGCAGTCTGCACACCATCAGAGTCTTTGCTTGGTTCTGTCTTCCGACTGGGAAACACTGGAGGGACCTCAGCAGGTGGCGGCGTCTGCTCTTCAGATCTGGGGCACTGAAGGGTGGCAACCGAATTCCTAGAACCGAACAGTTTCTTCTCTTGACCACTGACACTGCTCTGATCACTCCGGGTCCTTTCTGTCTGCTCAGGACCAAAGGAGAGGCTCACATCTGCAGAGGAGAAACACGGCACTTTGGAGGTAGAGTGATCTCCTGGACACTGGCCTGGGGCAGCACCTGGAGCACTGCCTTGGGACAGGGAATGGGCTTCTTTCTGCTCTTCACAAAGGAAGGAAGAGAAATGCTCTTTGGAATCTATTTCTTCCAGGTTGCCAGAGGAAGGGATCAGTTCTGTCATTGGATGCTGGGAGTCTAAACTTGGAACCATCTTGGCAATCTTCTGGGGCACTCCAGGAGCCTGGGAGGCCTTTGCCCTGCCAAGAGTAGCACTTGATGCATAGCTCTGGGCCATAAGAGACTCTTTCAGTGCCTGTGCAGAACCGGGGCTGCTTCTGGCAACTAGGTGATTGTCGTCCCCGGAACCTTGTAGAGTGCCTCTATCCTGGCTCTGCTCTCCGAGGGGCAGCTGTGGGGACTCTGGCCGGCTGCCTCTGCGGCCTGGAGCAAGCACCTTCTCCAGGGGCAAGCTACCGTGCAGCAGGTGCATCACGAGTGGGTTGCTAACCTCCACTGAAGAAGCAGGCCTAGGTGGGCACTCAGAGCTGGACAGCAACAGGGAATCTGGGATCTTGTGGGGGACTGCACACACTCTGGACACCCAGCTCTGAGAAGCAGCTACCCCTTCTGTCCTTGTGAGGACACTTAGGTCACTGCTTGCCTTGGAGAGTGAGGAGGAGGGGTCCCAGTCCTGCTTTTCACTCCTGCCCAACAACGCCCTTGCCGCTGTGGCTATACTTCTTGCATCAACCTCACTGCTGTCCTCAGCAAGGTGGACTTCAGAGTCAGAGGCTGTATCTGTGGATTCACTGTGAGGGCTCGGTGCTTCAGAGATGCCATTCATTTCCAGTCTTTCAAGGCCCACCTGCTCGCCATCACTGCCAGTGCCTGGACTGGTGACTCCTGGAGGAGGCGCTGTCCAGACTGAGGCACAGCTCTCAGGGTGGGGCATACCTTCTGTGGCTGCCAATTCCCCAGGCATGGCAGCATCTTTTCTGGATTCTGGCTCAGACTCTTTCATTACCTCGTAATTTGACAGAATAGGTACCCAGGAGGCAGCACTATCAGATGCAAAAGCCTCAGTTTTCAAAGTTTCTTGTCTACCACTTTTCCTTACGAGGAGGGTGCCTGTGGCACCAAGTCCTAACCCATCATCAGCAGGTCTATCCTGTAGGTAGGTAGCCAATGATAATTCAGATATAAAAGCAGGTGTGACATTTATAGGCTCTTTCATACTGGGATTACTATCAAAGGCCTGGCTATTTCCTCCTAACATGTCTCCCAATGGAGACGGAAGAGAAGCGCTCTCTGAGGAAACACTGGATCCTTGATCCTCACTAACCCTCTCCTGGCAAGTGGTACCAGACTCACACTCAGTTCTACCATCTAGAAGCAACTTGTGCTGCTCTGCTAACATCTCAGCTACTGGAGTTTGGGAGGACAGAGGGGGCAAAGCCTGGCATGGCTGGTCTCCAGTGGGAGCAATAGGGGGTTGGGAGGCATCTTCCAGCCCACTCGTAAGCACAGCTGGGACCCTTTGCAACAGGCAGCTCTCTTCTTTTCTGAGCGAAGCCGGGTCTCCTCTGGCTCTGGGTATGGCAGCTTCAGGCGGAGTGTGCTCTCCATTCAATGGACAAGGCGGCAGTAGTTGTGTTCGCTGTAGATCTGACGCACTCTCTCCAGGGGTGCTTGGGGTTCCCCTGGGCTCAGAGTGGCCACAGGCCTCACCACCATCACCACTGCCGCTGTCTCTGCCACCTCCCTCATCGATGGCCCCACTGTCACCTCCACCCGGGCCACCCCCCCCTCCGATGGCAGTGGTGGCCGCCTCTCGATGGCAGTGGTGGCCTCTTGCCCCTCGGGCCTGCAAAGCACGGGCTTTAATGTCTGCGAGGGTCCTGGCACCAGTCCAACCCCGGCAGGAGGGCTCTGTGATGGAGACAATCCGGGGACATATCTGGTAAGTGGGCCGACCTTTAGCCACCCAGGGTGGTTTGATACGTGAAAGTTGAATCTGCAAGAAAAGCATAAACAGCAGTTTTAACAGGGTGACCTGACCTAGGAACTACAGAGCAAAACTGGAATAAGTTGTCGTAGAGGTTAATTTAGTTAGTTGTCGTAGATGATTATCGTAAAATAGCTAACCCACACCACCAAAGGGCATTTTACGCTGCATGACAATTTCCCTACCTTTTCTCTTCTTGAAAAAGTAATTATTAGATTCATCTATTGTGCACGTGCAAGTGCACTTGTCATAACACAAGTGGACCACGGTCAGAGGACAACTTGCAGGAAGTCAGCTCTCTCCTTCCACCACGTGAGCCCCAAATTCAGGTCATTAGGTTGGGCCGCCAGCTCTTTATCCACTGATACAATAGAATTGTTAACCCATACTCACTTTGACCTGATGACAACTCTTCTTCTGCATTACTCTCCAGAGTGCTGGCACTGTATGGGTAAGCCTCCTAACCCACCTTTCAAGTTTAATTTCTAATTGGACCTTGTGGGCCATGAAACAACGTAACACCTAATAAAGTAAAAATCCCAGAGGATTTTAACCTTAAGATAACTTTAAAAAAGTATGTCATCTGTCAGGGAGTGCTAACACATGCCTTCAATCCCAGCACTGGAGAAGCAGAGGCAGGTGGACTGCCAGGAGTTCAAGGCTAGCCTGGTTTACAGAGCGATTTCCAGGACAGCTAAGGCTACACAGAGAAACCTTTTCTCAAAACACCAACCAACCGAAACAGAAAGTTATGTGCCCCATGTAAGTCAAGGACCTCTGCTCTTGCCCTCGTCCCAGCCAAAAGGTTAAAAAAAAAATCTATCTTACCCGGATGGGCGGGACTTTGGGCTCCTCTTTAGTGGGCTGTGGCTTTTCGGTGTGAACACTTTCAATTGTGTTACGAAAGGACTGACGATCTTCAAGCCGTGGCTTCTTTTCGGGAAAGGATGCAGAGGCTGCCTGCTCAAAGGATTTCCTCTTCTGCTCCTTTGTCTCTTGATCCGCAGTGTCCTGAGGTAAGGCAGGGATTCTGTCTGGAGATGCAGAGGCACATGCCAAGTTGTCTGCTTCTGCTTGGATCCGGGAAGCCACAGGTTCCCTGGGACGCTTGGGTCCGTCCTGTCCAGATGCTGCAGAGGAGACATCTGGCCCAGAGGGACAGCTCACCCCTGCTGAATCGGTCTTAGCAACCCCATCTTTGGAGAGCAAAACATCTGGTGCAGAATTTGCATCCTTAGAAACCCCTGTTTGTTCTGGCTCCTGTTTTTTGTGCAGATTCCTTCTGGATCTGGTTCGGAGATCTGGTCGAGAACGTTTCTTAAAATGCCCATCCCGTTGACGGGTGGTGGGCCCACGCTGTGACCGTACTGATTCTCCTGGGACACACAAGCCACTCTTGATTTTGGCCTCCTCCTGGCCTTCTTTCTGCTGCAGTGATTCTTCTTTGGTCAAACCCAATCTGAAAATCAAACTCACATCAACTACTGGCCAGAGTGCATATCTTTTCTTTCTAAAACAATATGCACTCAGATAACTTAATCCAATCCATGACCCCCCCCACATGCCAAATAAGCACTCTATCACATCTTCTCCCCAGAGGCTGAAGAAACCACAAGCTTTCTTTATATTGCCCAGGTGTGGCTCGCATGCTCGGCTCTAAGTCCACCTCAGTGTCGGCAGCTGGGTCTACAGAGCCAGTCTCACTGACGTGAAACTCAGCACTTTAGTCCGTGCTGCTCAGTGCATGAAGTCACAGCTTCTCCCTAAACAATCCTGAGCTAGTCTGTTCAGTCTGCGCCTCCAGAACTGCATCCATGAATGGCCAATTATTTGGATGCCAACTGCCTTTGTTCCCACAAAATGCCCAGACCAGAACTCATAATGCTCAGTGCCTTACTTCTGTCCATAGTAGTCTTCAAAGAACTTTTCCTTCCATTGTTCCACCTTCTTCTCCTTCTCCATCTCCTGTCTTATTCTGACTTGCATCTCATGAGTGAATTCGCCTGGAGAAAAATGACTTCCAGTCACTGAATTCCAGATATCAACATGTCTGTCCTACAGGAAGCAGACTTCTGTGCATCCCCCTGTGTGTATCCATGTGCCCATGTGTGCACGTAAAGGCCGAGGACAACCTTGCGAGTCAGCAAACTCGGTTTGTTTTAAAGATTTACTTTTATTTATGTGTCTGTGAGTGTATACCACATGGGTATGCCTGCTGAGGCCAGAAGGCTGTGACATGCCCTGGAGCTGGGGTGTTCAACATGGGGTCCCAGAGCAAATGTGTCCTCTGGAAGAACAGGGTGTACTTTCAACTGCTGCGCCACCTCTACCCAAACGTGGGGTATTTTGTTTGAATAAGGTCTTTCACTGCCTGGGACTCCCCACTTAGGCTAGGCTATCTAGTCAGCGAGCCCCAGGAACCTGCCTATGTCCACCTCCTTGGTGCTGGACTGACTACTGCTGCTGAGGTGCAATAGGCTACAACACAGTTTCTTTGTGTGTGGATTCTGTGATCAAAACCAGGTCTTCCTGCTTACACAGTAAACCTGTTACCAATGGGACCACCTCCTCCAGCTCCTACCAAGCAGTTTTAAAGGGAATATAACTCCTGTCTCTATCAGTGTACTTCTCAGAGCATGTTCCTACCCCAGAACAGAACTAACACTTCTACTATAAAAGAGATGGCTTCTTCCATAATCAGTCAAGAGCAAGCAACACATTGACCAAGACAATGAACTAACAAAAGACCTTCTTACTTCCTTTGTAGAAAAAGCCAGCACAGTATGCTTATCTCTGAGGCTGCCCAGGACAAGTGGGAACTTGGATTTCAAGAACTTTCAGCAACCTAACCGATGAGCGACTCATTATGCTGCCCGTGATGCCAATCATATTACTCATGCTAAAGACACCTGCTTTCTTTTTAGGAACCAATGCCTTATATTAATACCCCTTGATTAAGAAACTGGTGAAAAATGAGTGCCAGGTTTCCTTTCAGGACTAACAACTGCTTCCAAAAGAATCAGACCACAATAAAATCCTGAGTACCGCGGCTCAGTGGTTAAGAGTTTGGTTCCAAGAATCCATATCAGGTAGCTTACAATTGCCTATAACTCCAGAACCTGGGGATCAAACACCTCTGGCTTCTGCAGGCACCTGAATTCATGTGTAAGTATCCACAGGCACATGTACACAAAGAAAAACAAAAATCCTGGATGTTAAGCCTTTACCAAACTTCCCTGATAGACATTTTCACAGAGCCACAGTTTTTTTCTGAGATAATCATTTCTGCTTGACTTCAGAAACCTGTGCCCGGCTGTCCCCTGAATCTTACCCGTGTCTTCTCCCATTGCTGATTTTACTTTATATTATTTTGCTGTAACAAACCCTAACTCTATAATAAACTGGCAATACTAATGAGGCCCAGGCAAGTAGTCTTGGGATCCTCTCCAGACATTCATCATGAAGCTACTATAGAAAACTAAATTCAGAGAAGCTAGCATTTACTCTAAGTGACTGTGACAAGGAGAGAGCACGGCAGCACGGAGTATGTCATCTTGGAGGGCTCTTTCACACATCCACACAAAGCCATTGCCACAAGGTATAGGCATATATACTTTTAGTAATAAAAAACATGTAGAATGGATATCCCTGATAGAGCATATTTTCAGAGCAGTGTGTCCTATTAATAACCAGCATGTCTTGGCAGCATGAGCAAAGGCTGCCTTACATTAATATGCTTTGAGGGGGGAAAAAACATGTTATAAATAAGCACTTGGATTTTACACTTGATCTTAGCAAAAGCCTGAGAAGTAGTTAGTGCTTAGACTGTTTTTTCTTTGATGTGTATGGGTGTCTTAACTACATGTAAGGCCATGCGCCATGTGCATGCCTGGTACCCTAGGAGGTCAGAAGAAGGCATCGGATCCCCTAGAACTAGAGTAACAAGACAATCCTGAGTTCCTATGTAGGTGCTGAGAAGTGAACCTGGGTCCTACTCTTAACCTCAGAACTACAAAAAAGCATACGCAATAGGCATCTCAAGCCATGATGATGGCATCTACTCACCGTCAGCAAGGCGTTCCCGCCAGCTCTGAGCTGCATGGGTGAAAAACTCATTATTGAGTGCACTGCTGCTGAGGCGCAACAGGCCATCTGTCCCCACCTAGGACGGGCAAGGGATAAAATGAAAACAATAAGGGAACTTGAGAGAACAGGAGCCCGCCTAGACAGAGAGACCAAGAGGAGTTGTGCACTGGCACCTGTCTGTCCACTTCAGGCAGGAGGAAGAGGAGTTGCTGCTGGAAGTGTGATGGCAGGGCATGGAAGGTCCGAGAGTTTATCAGAGCACGGAGGTTGGTGTTAACAAGAATGGACCCAGGCGTCTCAAAATCTACCTCTTCCCCTCTGTTGCGCTTCATCTGACCTGTGGTTTTTGGAAGCAAGAAGAAGTAAGGATATAGATTTTTTTCAGCTTAAGGGGAAAAAAAAGTCCCGAGAAAACACTCAGAGGCTGGCTTCCCCTGAGATCAAAGCCCGAGGAAGATACTTTTCCCAAGAAAACCAGACAGAACAGGTTCCCACCAAGGCTGGAGGAAAAGCTCCACAAAGCTGAACCAGAGAAGAAAATCTAGTTAAGAGTACTACATTAACACCCACACAGAAGGCCTTTGTGAATGAGGTATGCTCTAGATGCGGGCATATACTAAGGGTTACTAAAAGCCAAGTGAAGCTGGGGAGTAGTGGTGCAAGTCTTTAATCCCAGCACTCAGGAGACAGAGGCAGGCAGATCTCTTGAGTTCAAGGCCAGCCTGGTCTATTGAGTGAGTTCCAGAACAGCCAGGGCTACACAGATCCCTACACTAAGAAATCAATTCTGAAATAGCAAACAGCACACTAGCCTTCCACAAAGTCCTACTCAGTTTTTTTTTCATGCCCCAAATTCAACACATGCTCCCATTTAACACACTTCCTAGATTAAAACTATTTATGTTGAATGTAAGCACAGCAGGATACTATAGCCCCCCCAAAATGGACATGGGGATCCTTCAAGAAGAAGTGAGCAATTCTCAATCATTCAAACACTTATGAAGCAGTATCAAAGCAGGTACAGGCCAGGCCCCACAGAGATGGACAAGGAGCTATGTGATAACGTTTCTACCTACAGGAGCTCAGTTTCATGAAATAATCAAAATATAAGGAAAAACAATAATTAAAATTAAACTGAAAAAGGAACTAGAAAAGACACCATATTTTCACCTTCAGTCCCTAAAGGGGGCCTTTTACAGGCAGAGAAATAGGTGCCACCCACTCACCTGTGGCTGGCTTTCGGAAGCCTCTCAAGAGAGGGGCAGGGTCCCGGGTGGCTTCAGCCTGGCCTCGAATGGCAGTGCTGCCTAAGGCCAGGGAGCTGTTGCTGCTGCTGGATGGACTGCCACTCTCGCCATCCGCCTGTCGGCCTGAGAACCCTGAAGGCACAGCATTCCACTGGTCAAAAGCATCACAAACTTTATCCATTTCTCTCAGACAAGCTCAAGTCTCCCAGCTCTCTCCAATGTTATCAATTCAAGGGTGTTTCTGGCTCCCAGACATTGATTGGCTGGCAGGGACCACCACCTCGTGGTCTGGTTTAAAAATATCACTAAAGAACACCAAACCACAGCTTTTATACCAAACTGCACTTTTTAGAAAGAACTGACAGAGTCATCATCAGATGTTCACAGCTGACCCTGGAGGCAAGAGGAGGGCGCATAGCAGAACCCAACACAAAGCCCTCACCAGCACAATACACTGCCTTCCTGGGTTCTCATGGCTTCATACTGCTAGGTCGAAGGCTGCTGACAGAGCCAGCTTCCCAGGACCCTAAGAAAAAGTAGCACAACCACTGAGTCTATACATACCTGATGCAGATTCCACGTGGGCCCCGTTTACCTTCAAAGGAGTCAGGACAACACGAGGCAGCATGACACCAGTCTTTTTCTTTTGTTTGTTTGCCTGTATTCCCGGGACGGATTTAAAAAAGAAGGAGTCACTGCAGGGCCGCTACAGCACTCCTTCAGCCCTCCCTATTCACTTGCTACTAAGAGTTCATGTCAAGGGCTAGCAATGTGGCACCATGGCTAAAGGTACTTGCTGCACAAACCTGATGACCTTTGTTCAACTCCAAAATTCGGTAGGGGAACAAGAAAACTGACTCTCCAAAGTTGGCCTTTGATCTCCATAACTAAGGCAAGTCAGCACACACACACAATTTTTGAAAGTTCATGTATGGTGGAACACTGTCTACCCTTTTAGAGGACCTGGGTTTGATTCCCTACACTCACATGGCAGCTTACAACATCTGTAACTCCAGTTCCAAGGGATTTGATTCCTTTTCAGGCCCTACCCCACACCATACATACAGCAAACAAACAAACATGTAAGCAAAACTTCAAATGCATGAAAGAAAAAGAAATCTTTAAAAACAATTCACATGTGTGCAGAGATCTCCCAGGCAATGCTAGTACTAGTACAGTAGGAAGCAACGTCAACACACTAAGCATTCCCCTCAGCTGGAGAAAAAGGAGACACACACTGCTGCCCCATCCTATAGACAAAGTCATCCTTTAAACTGCTGCCCCTCAGGTTCATGTTCTCATACTCTGAACTCCTTCCTGCACATTTGCAGATGTGGTGTGTGATGAGGTGAATGTGGTGGCACACACTTGTAATCAAAGTACTTAAGAATATCTAGGAGACAGAGACATGAGGATCAGGAGTTGAAGACCATCGTTAGCTATATAGCAAGTCAGAGGCTAGCCTGGGCAATATGAAGGCTGAGGAAAATAAAGGAGAAATTAAAGAAAGAAAAACAATTACCTAGGCACAGAAAGAGAAAACAAAACAAAACAAACAAACAACAACAAAAAAACCCCACAACCAAACAAACCCTCTATGCTCTCAGACATACTATGCAGTTTCCTACAGCCTGCTTCTAAAATGTTACCAGGAGTAGGGTATGTGGCATATTATCTGTAACTCTAACACTGGGAAGGCAGAGGCAAATATATCACTCTGAGTTCAAGACTGGCTTAGTCCAGGCTAGCCAAAACTACACAGTAAGACCCTGTCCCAAAATAAGTAAGTAAATAAAATAAAAATGTTACGAGATAACAACAAATTTTATTCTACCCACTCTTCAAACACATCTCATGACCATCTCCTAAAGACAAACCCTGTCATGCGCTCTCATCCACCCGCTCTCCTATCCTGGCACTAGTGAGCCTTATTACCTGTGAGGAAGCCCTGTGGCTGTCCCTAGGATTGGAAAGAGGCCGGCCCTGAGACTCTGTAGAACAGGATGCATTTGAAGATGTTTCATCTAGAGATACTGAAGACAAGCAAACAAAGGTTTTAGTCCGTTAAGAACTGCTTGGTCTCTTCCCACCTTCTGTTCCAGCACTTACCATCATTTTCACCACTCACAGTGCTGGCTTCATTAGATCCACAGCTTTCCACATCAGCTGAGTCCTCTGGCTCTTCTCCATCCACTGCAGCTACATTTCTAGACCACTGCACAGCATCCTTCTGTGACAGAGAGTTAAAACTCAGATGAACAAAACCTTTCAAACCCAACAAGTAGAGTAGACATTCCTAAATACATTTTTTTTGACCCTCAAATCCAAAAAAGAGTTCTACATAAGAGTTTTAGAGGCCCCTGACCTTTCAACCACTGCTGTGTTCATTGAAGTCAGCTTATTTCTGATTCTGTGGGCTCTGACTCTGTTTTCTAAGAAGCTAAGAGGAGCCTCATGTTCATTTCCGCTAATGTCTCTCAGCACTTACAATTATTGTAGGATGTAGAGAAAACAGGCCAGAAAAACCTAGAAATTTTTCCATAGGCTTAGAGATAAGACCCATTGACAATCCAACACTGGATCCTGTCCAGACTGACAGCAACCAGTTTTTCTCCATTACTGTTCAACAGTGGATCACAGGGGACCAACTGCCCCTTGAAGCAGCCATCTCTGGGGCACTGTGAGCAACCACAATGTGGTAAAAGGGCTGGCTGATGCAGCCACTCAAATGACATTAAAAATAAATAAGTAAATAAATAGATAAATAGATAGATAGATAGATAGATAGATAGATAGATAGATAGATAGATAGATGAATAAATAAATAAATTCCACCATGGCTAAGACACTGGCCAGTGGTAGAGATCTTGGGTTTCACCAGCAGCGCAGCTGGGAGGTTGGTACAACATCTTCAGTAGTACATGATTAGCACTACTAGTTAAAATATGAAGTACCACTGCTCTGCCCCTAGGATAGCAACACTAGTCCTATGGTGTTGTGGGGGACTGGAGTACACTGAGCGCTGTGGGGAGTGTTTATGATAACTAGTCAACCTTTTTTTAAAAAAAAAAAAAAAAAAAAACAGGGTTTTTCTGTGTGGCCCTGGCTGTCCTATAGATCATGTGGTTTTCTTTGATGTGTCAGAAGCTGCAACATGAAGTCTCAACAACATGACTGCCTAAACATGACTTGAACAAAGATGACACTAAAAGATTAGCTAAAATGAAGAGGGGAAAGCTCAGCAGGCCTCACCCCTAGACAAAGGACTACAAGCAACTAAGAAATAGTCTTTCCCAGAGAAGAGCACATCCATTAGTTATCAAATGGTCAGCTCTGAAAACAAGCAATTTAGAGAGACTGAGTAGGTTGTATTTATGTATTTGGGAATACATCCACACACACACATATACAACAATGAAAGAAAAAAAGGCCATGAATTTAAAAGAGAGCAAAGGGGGAGGTACATGGGAGGATCTGGAAGGAGAAAAGGGAAGTTGCTAGGGGCTGAAAGGAGGGGACATGAACGACACTGCTAAAGGGTTTCTTTTAGGGGTAATGAAAATGTTCTAGAATTCCACCACAGTAACTGTTGTATAACTTTACGAATATACTAAAAAGCTACCAAATTGGTCACTTTAAAGGGAAAAATTATATGCTCTTGTTGAACTATAGTCCCAGTAAACCTTCATCTAAAATGTCTAAAGATGTTTTAATTTTGTTACAGAAATCATTAAGAATTAAAACTATTAAGCCAAACTTCATGTTAAAATGTCATTATTTGAGAGTTATCTATTTTATTTTACGTATGTGAGTGTTTTGCCTGTATGCATGTTTGTGCACCAGAGTTCAGCAGAGAGCACAGGATATTGGTACTAGAGTTGTAGACGATTATGAAGTGCCTGTGGGTACTGGGGCTCAAACTCAGATCCTCTGAATGTAACAGTAAGTGCTCTAACCACCGAGCCACCTCACCAGCCCCCGAACTTCACTGTTTTTAAAGAATTTTTATTTTACTTAGTGTACATGAGTGTTTTATTTCCATGCATGCCTGTGCTCTGCAAGTGTGCCTAGTACCCATGAAGTCTGGAGGCGGCTTCAGATTCCCTGGGACTGAAGTATCCACACAGCTGGGAACTTCCAAGTGGGGGCTGGGAACTACACCTAGGTCCACTGCAAATATAGTCAGCGATCTTAACCACGGGCACATCCCAGCAGCCAGCTGGGAGACATGGTCATTCTCTTAAGTTTGATATAGAATAGCTCTATTTTCAACATTACAGCAGTCAAAGAAAAGGAAGTACTGTACTGCTACTTTTAAAGTGAGTGGACTCTTGTAACAGTGTAAAGAAAGAAAATGTGTGAATTCTCATTGGTGATAAAAAGGAGTTTCTAGCAACCAAAAAATAACTCTGCTCTGTGATTTGCCACCCACCGCTGCAGGCCAGATTTGTAGTTAGTGGTAACCATGGCCCACTATCCCTCTGAAACCCTGGAGTCTAGATGTTCTTTAGAATTCATAATTTCTTGAACTGTAGAATGGTAACAGAGTAGTATTATTAGTACCATATTAGCACTGCCAACAATACATAGTCAAACACTTTTTAATATGTAACATACCAAATGAAATAAACGGGCTAAAAACAGGACTGGAGAGATGACTCAGCATTTTCTGCCAAACCTAATGATCCAAGTTCAAGTCCCAGTACCCATCAGAAGGATGCTGACTTCTGAGACAGACAGACACGCACACACCCCTCAGTAAAATATTTGAAAGAAGATGGGCAAGTTGGCACACACCTATAATCCCAGCACTTGGAAGGCTGAGGTAGGAGGATAACTGATTTGCAGGTCATCCTGAGCTACACCAAGAACACCAGAGCTATCAACAACAAAACCAAAAAATTTTTAAGTTTTACAACCTCACTTTTCTCACCAATTATAAAACGTGAAGAAAATTTTATCGAACTAATTTCTCAAAGCCCGGACTCTAAATGCTTGAGCATGCCACAATGTGGCGTGAAATAAGAATATTTCAGTAGAGAAACTCATATATATTATAATAAAAAGAACTGTTGTGCAAAAACAGTTAATTGTTTTCATAAAAATTATATTTAAAAAATTTAAAGAATCATTTACTTTTATCTTATGTGCACTGGTCCACTGGACACCATGTATGCCTGCAAATCATGTGCTTGCAGTACCCTAAAAGGCAAGAAGAGGGCAGCAGATCCCCTGTAACAGGAGTTACAGAGGGCTGTGAGCCGCCAAGTGGGTACTGGGAACCCAACTCAGGTCCTCTACAAGAGCAGCCAGTGCTCTTTACTGCTGAGCCTCCCTCCAGCCCCAGTCTTTAATAGTGAGAAACCAGAAGCACCCTTAAAAAGCCTTTATAACCTGTCCTGGAGGTACAGATATGGTACAATATTAAACAACAGTTAAAAGAGTACAAACACTTTTATAGTGACAAAATAGTGCACATTTTTCATGGCCACATATAGGGAGAAACCAGCTAACTAGGGGGAGGGGTGTTTGGGGGGTAGGGGAGAAGAGGTGCAGAAGTCAAGGTCACTCCACATCTTCTCTGCAGGAAGGCTTAACTCCTGAAACACATGATTCTCTTCATCCGCTGAAGCATCAATAGAGTGGATACAGAAAAATAATAAACATGTAAGGACACAAAGAGGAGGTAAAAGACAGCAAAGTGAATATATGAACACATCTAGAAGATGGCAGGGAAAGAAAAGTCAAAATCTAATGCTACAGAGGAAAAGAGTAAGCCAGAAAGAAAAATAAGCCAGAAAGAAGTACAAAACCCCAGGGTACAGGAGTTGGGAAAGTATCATGAACCACTGTGGACAGAAGTGAAAAACAGGGCTTCACACAGGAGAACTTGCTATTACTTCATACACAAATACTCTTCCAGCTCTGGAAGAACTGTAGTGGCCTAAGCCTGTATTCCCCACTACTATAAAGGCTGGGGGGATCTCAAGCCCCTTGGTTCAATGCCTAGTACCAAAGACAGAGAGGGAGAGAACCAGCAGCAAGGTACCAAAATGTTCCTCCTCTTGAAAACGGTGAACTCAACAGAACACATCTTCAAGCAAGATAACCCAAAATAACCCCCCCCAGCATGTGGATTTCCATCTCCCCACCCTGACCACTCAGTGCTCACAGCCAGAACCCATTAGTTCTCCCAATATGGAGGACCCATCAAGGACTAGTAGATATCTAAGCACAGCCATTACATGAAAGATGTCCAAAATTACATAGAGTAGGAACTGGAAGAAGATAAATCATCACAGTAAACACTCCAAGAGCACCAACAAGCACAAGGTGCTTTCAAAAATCACAAAGATGCACCAACACACACACACTGCTGGAATCTAAAAGGATGTTATCAGTTACCAAAAACATGTATTATCTCTCAGAGAACTGACTAAAAATCACTCGTTCTTGCAAAGGACCCTGGTTCATCCCTGGCATTCACATCAGAGTTCTCAGCTGCATATAACTCCAGTCTCAGGATGCACATGATATACATACATGTGAGCAAAACACTCATTCACATGAAATAAGTAAAACTAAGAAAGAAATGCCTAAAAGGAAAAAAAAAAAAAAACAGGCACTGGTTAAACAAACAGAAGGCCCAGAAAGAAACAAAACACAACAAAACCCAAGAAATTGTATTCAAAGGCCAAGGAGATGGCTTAGTGGGTAAGGGCCAATGCAAGCCGGATGTCCTGAGTTTAATTTCTGAGACCCACATGCTAGAAGGAAAGAACTGACTCCCACAAGGTGTCCTCTGACCTTTGTGCACACACTAAAAACACTCCCCCCACAAACAAACAAACAACAAAAGAACCAAAACTGTACCCAAATGAAGAAAAGACCCAAGTTTCCAGGTTTTACAATTATGGCAAGAGGTTCAGCCTAATGAATCAAAGATATTTTATATCAGATTATTCAACTTCAGGATACAGAGAACACATCATACATAGGTAGACTATGAACACTGTACCTCTCAAAAGCAGTTTTGGAGAATAAAATATGAATAAAACCAGGGCTCACTGGTCAGTGCATACTGCTCTAGCAGAGGACCAATCTCCAGCTCCAGGGAGCTGCTTGAGGCCTTTGGCTTCTGTTGATATGCATGCTCATGTGCACAGACCCATAATTTAAAAATCTAATTCATCTTAAAAAGTTAGCAAAGGTAAAATTCTAGGCCTCTGT